AGAGAGAGAGAGAGACAGAGAGAGAGAGAGACAGAGAGAGACAGAGAGAGACAGAGAGAGAGACAGAGAGAGAGATAGAGTGTGAGTGTGAGTGTGTTTGTGTGTGCGTGCGTGTGTGTATGAGTGTGTTTGTTTGTGTGTTTCACGAATCGGAAAGTTTTAGTTATGGCTAAGGTAATGTCTTACTTCAGAAGATCTAAGATGCATATGTGTGAGTCTGCACGTGCGTGTGTGTGAGTCTGTGTTTTCTTGTGTGTGACTGCGCACCGAGGCGTGTGTTTATGCGTGCTTGCGTGTGTGTGCGCATTTGTGCGTCTCTCTCTTCGTTCTTTTTGTTTCTTTTCTTCGCCCGGCCCGCCATACCCCCAATCTCCTCCTCTCCCCACCTCTCCCCACCTCTCCCGTCTCTTCCCCTTCAGCTTCACCCTAAATTCACCCCCTCCCCCTTTTCCTCTCTTGTTCCTCTAATCCTGATTGACCCTGCCAAGAGGTTGGGTTACAGAAGACAGACGTGTACTACCTTAGAAAACGTCGTAACGACATTAGTGCTACTCACGAGCAGGGCCGTGAACCCCCCCCCCCAACCGACAAAAAGAAAAGGCTCATCTGTTGAACCAGAAAGGAAGAGACTAAACGACTTAGAACCGATGCCCTATTAATGTCCAGCAACAGACGAGTCTGTAAACGAGTCAGACTTTTTCCAAAGTGATAACAGTATGACTTAATTCAATTTGATTTGGTAAACAAGCCTGCCTGTTGATCACAGCCAAAATCAAATGTTACTAACTGTTGATTACGTGGTTTTAATTGCTGGCTTAGTGACACATGAGATAAAAACAAAGGACAACTTAATTTAAAGTACGTGGTGTTGACTGTGTAGTAGAAATTTTTTTTAAAAATTAGTCATTCAGGTCTACACGCTTCGCGCGCACAATAATCGTCGTTCATTCCAGTAAAGGGAGCCTAGGGGTTCCTTAGTTTAAACAACGCAACAACGTTTTTCGTCAAACCATTGTCACGTGTACTTGCCTCCCTCTCTATACAGGATGGAGTAGGTTGAGTAGGTAAGATACGAGTGGTTTTTTCTTTTTTCCCGTCTTAAAGTCCTTCCACTAAATATGTTTACTTTTCACTGGATAATATGGTTTGCCTCTCATTGTTCTTTCAGCTTTAATAGCAGTAAAAATATGTCCAAACTTTAAAAAAAAATCTCTTTAATATTTGTGTTGTGCATAGCTCTCTATATATTTAAATCATTCAACCTTAACAGTCTATCATCACGTCAATGTGCTCATAGTATGTTTCTGTTAGCCAGGAATTTAATGGTACGCAAGAGAAAAAGAAAGAGAGAGAGAGAGAGGGAGAGAGAGA